GAGGCCTGTGCTGGTCACCTGGGGGGTTGCCTCCGTGGTCCGCAGAGCAGGAGCCTGTATCCTTCAACTCACTTTGGGCCAACAAGGCTCCTGCCAGCAGATCGCCCTACTTGACTTCATTCTATTCCAGGAGCTTGCATCTCTTTTGCAGAGCAATGGATGTTGAAAAACTCATGGAATTTGCTCTGGTCTCCCTCTGTGTGTCAGTGGGCTCATTGGGCGAGGCTCATCATCTTGTCCCGCGGTTCCCTTTTTACTTTGACCCAAGAGCAGGCTCAAATGGCGATACTCTTCCATTAAACGCAGCCAGATTCCCGCAAGAAAGATAAGCATGCGGGCCTCCTGGTAAGCACGGAAGAGTTTGCTGCCTGCCTGCCAAGGCCACTACTGCCGGCTGCGGAAACCTTTGTGGTGGCCACCACCTGCCAGCATCTGGCCGGAAGGCCGAACAGAGAACAGCCCAGACATCACTCCAGCAAAAGAAGGGAGAACAAGCAGCAGAGTCCAAGCCAGCAGAGAAAGCCCACGAAAGAAATACAAGGTCAGATGCGACAGAGCAGACGCAAGGTCCCAAATCCAGGGCGGCCCACGGGCGGGCAAGGGCATCGTACCAAATTCATTGCACCAGGATTGGAGAGGTGACGCATGCTATGAGGAAGGAGCATTCCATAGACCACCCAGATTGCAGAAGGCCGCATAGCTTGGCAGGCAAGCGCTGGCCTTTCAAGCCTACTTGAAGGTTTCTCAGGCGGCTTGGATCCTTGAGCCTCCGTGCAGGAGGAGCATCATGGTTGCGAGGACTCCAAGCTCACGAGAGCTGGGTTTCTTCCAAAGTGATGGGTTTCCAAACGATTTCAATCGATCAAAGAGCGGATCATGGCCTTGGCTAGGCTTTTGACCTCAAGACCGCCATTGTCCCACAGTCTGTATGGTGCATTTGCACTGAAGTGCATCGGTAAATGGAAGCAGGTGGGTGAAAAACGGCCAAGCCAGAGGAGAAGGCCAAGCAGAGAGAACTCTTATCGATGTATATATACATATATTATATACTATATACACCGTAGTATACATATATATTATATTACCTATTTCTATCCTTGTTAGTTCATATTGCATGAAAACGACATACAAAGTGCCTTTAGGTGGTCTTATGGCAATCCATGATGTCTTGCTTAGGCAGTACGACTCTGCACCGCAGCCTCCCTCCGGTCCTTCAGGGTGTGGGGCTTGTTGTGTACGGCTCTTTTTTGTTGCAGAGCCGTACAACATTGTTGTGGTGTCGACACAACGCAATGTTGAGGGCTCGTCCAGACAGAGACGACAGGCCCCCAAAGGAATCAGGCGCGTTGTGGTACTTTGTTGCAAATCAAAAAGGAAGGTAGAAGGAAGGTAAACCAAAAACAATGTTCAAAATTCCTTTGCTGCCCGCTTTGTTCGATCGAAAGGCGCAAAGAAGCGCTCCCTCATTCCGAGGCGAATCAGTTGGAACAGTATTTTGCCGCATGCGAAAAATAGTATATAGTCCAATCAAAAAAATATCCAAGTAACCACGATTGATCAAGTCTAAGCCGGCGCGTCTGATCTTCCGCACTTGCTTTTGTAGTGGGAACACCTTGCCAGGCTCTTCTGAAATGGTGCAACATCCAGCATGCCAAATTGAAGCATGCCAAATAGGCGCATGTAGGATGATGAAGCATTTTGTGCATGCTCCTATTTCACCCAGCATGCGGGGTTTCTCGCTTGCGTTTCTGAACGCTGTGCCACTGAGCGCCTTGGATATGGCGTTGGCACAGTGCTGCATGTAGCCCGCTGCGTTGTTCTCCGTTACAGCAACCGGGCTTTGTATGGAATTGCCCTAAAGGTCCTTGAGTGACAAGTCTGACGACACTCCAAAGGAGTGGATGGTGGTGACGCGGGAAAAGGCATCGCGATGCAATGACACGGGAAATTGAAACTGCACCAGCTGCCGTTTAGAGATGTTGTTTTTGTTTATTTTTTTTCATGAATGACATCCACATCATGTTGCTGACCATTTCTCACGTTCAATTTCTGTTTCAGTCCCAAGGAAGAATGCGGCGAGCGTGTTCTTCAAAGATTCGGCCATCGCACCCTGCCAGCCGAAAATTCAAGCTTGGAGGCAGGTGACTCCTTGATGAAGTAGTACAAATATGTACACATGTACTCTCGATGTTGGCTGCAATAAAATCAGGTCATTTCAGCCTTCCAAGAGAGGTTGGAGAGTCCAATGGAGGCGAGTGGGAACCGCAAAACCAGAAAAGATGTCAACCAAGTGTCCAGGGCTTCCAAGTGGAAGGTTTTTTTGCACACTTCTCCAGAGGCAGAAGGCTTTGTGATGTGGTGTGCAAGGGATGATGGAGACCTAGACGAGGCCGATGCTGGACGCTTCAAAAATCCGTGACTCATGAAACGCCGAGGCTGTGGTACAATTGCAAGAGCTTGTGGAGCGCAGCGAGGAGGGCCCAGACGTCCAATTGAACTGCATTCATGTGCTTTGTGGGCAGGCGCTTGCAGAAGATGTGCGACCGCAAACTCAAGGGTATTCGAGAGAGACGGCCTCTACTACTTCCGGGCATCCGTCTTTCCACTACAAGGCTAGGACCGCTAGGACATCGAGGACATCTAGATCCGCTAGGATGCAGAATACTTTCGGAAAGTGATGCTGGAGGTTTAAGTCTATAGCCATCGTTGTGTGTATCTTTGTGCTCGAAGTTTTAATCGTGTATGAAATAAAGATACACAATTGCACAGCCATGGATCTAACACACGTTTGCATCTGGTCAAGCCCATGCCGATGCATTTTGTTTGGATCCTTATCTCTCGGGGCATCCCGTGCATTTGGCTTTCATGCTTTCGTGGTTGGTGTCATCTGTGCTGTCCAGCCCAGCGAGTTCTAGTCGGTCGGTCCAAACTGCGGCCACACACTAAAGTACCAAAGTACCATGCTGTTCAGTGCCAGGGTCGTCTTCAGAAAAGCTAGCCAGAGCCAAACATAAGAGACTGATACCGATGCTGTCTCCATGTGTTGCCCAGCAAGGCTGTGCGCAAGTTGTGTTTTGTTTTTGGCAATTGCACTGCACTTCCTCACTTCTGCCGTTTGTCCCATTAAGGCCTTCCAGAAGCGTGGTGCTCGAGCGCTGTATTTGCGGGGTCTTCGACGGCAGATCGAGTTCTATTTTTCGGACCGTCAGAAACTAGAGTCTGTTTGAGCTCGTTTGTTTTGTTCAATTCAGTCCTCAAGTCCACTGAAAGCTGTCTCTTTTCACCGTGCCGGGAGGACAAGAATCTCAAACAAGACTGGCCCACCCATCATGGATTACAAGATTTGCAAGGGTTTGTTTGTACTTGACATCTCCTTTTGGTTGGTCCATGATGGTCATTGTAGACGGCTTGATTCAGTTTCCCCAACAGGTATGTTTCGCCAGGTTTTTCCAAGAGAAGATCTGTGAAGCTCCTGAGCCAAGCTGGCTGGAACTTCGTTGGATTTTGTCTTGCCCGCGAGTTCGAGATGTGCATCGTGCAGAGCTCAGCAACTCAAAGTTTACTGCATGTGCCAAGGGGTGCATAAAATGCATTGTCTCAGAGCCCTGCTATTCCTAACTTCAGGTGCTAATGCTGAAGATGTTTTGGAAGCTTTGGGGCCTTCCTCATTAAAGGTGAAGGAGACAAGCTGATCGTTTTTACTTGATCGTTTTCCCTTCACGTTTCGTCAACGTATTCGTGAATGTGTTCAGGCTGCACGTGGAACTCACTGGGTGAGAAGGACTCCTCTTGTTTTGTCGAGTCATTGGTCTCATGGTCCCTCGGTCAACACCTAGGACAAAGCCCATGCCAAAACTCAAGGAAAAGCGTCATTGGCTCAGGGAGAAGTCAACATTTAGTGAAGAGCGGATCTGAAAAGTAACAGTTTCCTGCATGGCTGCGAGGACTTAGGTCTTTACAGTCTTCACAGTCCTTTCTACTTTATTAACTTCGTGTTTTGAAGACAATGCATATATTTCTTAATCAAATTACAATTTGTTCTCTTGAACATTGTGCGTCTTGTCTTTGTGAGCTTCCTTGCAACTCAGGGCCAGCTCGAGGTCACGAGCCAGAATGGTATGCCGCTTGTCATGACACACATTTGTGGCTTGCTCATATATTCATGCAGTATCTCATGCATGAAAGGGATAGCATGAGAACATGGAGAGCACGAATTCCATGCAGATAGCTTGGTGATGCATTGAACATGAAAGCCAGATGTGCGGCTTGAAGGTGAGGCTGCATGCAGATGACAGTCACAGCCCACGCAGCCCAAGCAGCTCGTCGAATTCAGGTGTGAAAATTGTGCTGCATCGTTTATCTTTGCATGTCTGAGTGAGACGGCTTTGCAACTTACAGTACAGGCTCCGAAGAAGGGCTTCAACAGAGCCAACAGACAAACAACGAGGGGACGAACGAGGAGGCGCTTCGTGTGGCCAAGACTTGCTTTTCTCTCATTTGGTGCAGCCAAGGGGCCAAAGTGTGCCGCTTGCAATCGCTATCGGCCTCGGGAATGCTTCAGCAAGGCACTGCCAAGCCTTGGCTGCCAAGCATTGCTTTTGTCTCATTCCGAATGCGTTTGGCCGACACGTTTGGACGCCACGGAAAGCTGGAAGGCGCAGCTCACCAAGCATCGCAGGACACCGCATTTTCATCGTTGGCATCGGATTCCGAAAGGCTCTTGATGAACTTTGCAGTCTGTTCGAGGAGTCCAACCTGCAAGGACTGCGTGGCGTGACAGCCAACAAACATTTGTGTACAGCTGGCCGCGTGGAAAAAGGAATGGACATGTGAGCAAGTTTTGCGATGCTTATACTGTAGTACTTGCAGATTCAGTACTACTCGCACATTCATATACAAAGGTATATATATATGTATATATATATATATATACATACATGTATATAGTAATTTAGTATACGTGTAATAATTTTGTGCTGAGCCAATTTCTTGGCAGAGAGGCAGCTGGCCCAACACTGGTGCACTTTGGGCGACCAACGGGCATGCTGGCCCTACACTTAGTGAGCGTAATTATTGACAGAGTTAGACTCGTTTTGAAATCGCTTCGCAACAAGGTCAGTCCGACCACACCTGTGAGGGAAACCCAGGTTCCCTTTCCTTGTATGCGTGTATTAGGTGTGAGTGACCGCGGTTTGAATCGCGATTGAATGATTTGGACATGTTTGGCCGCTCTCAGCTCTGCTACATGTTTAATTCAGTTGAATATGTGTACATTTGCCATAGTCGACCCTCTTAAGTCTTAGCCACAACAGCCTTGCAACTGTTCACACAGAAGGATGTCAGGACATGGAAAAACATGCACGTATCGAGAAGATTCTACGAGGTTTCCTGGTGTAGCAACGTGCAGTGTTCGTCCGTTGGTGCTACAGCAATGGCAATGGCGTTTCTGCCACTCCACCGCAGCACGCCGCTGGTTCAGCGAACTTGGAGGCGACATGCTCGCAGAAATCAAGCAGGATGTTCATGTGACATTTTTACAATGCCGTTTTTCTGAATGCCTGACAGTCTGCTCTAGGCCACCTGTGACAAGCGAAGTACCAACTCTTGACAGTAGAGGCTAGGATTGTTGTTTTTTGCATGCTTTTGCACTTATATAGTGACTAGAGCGATTTCAGGTAACATGCTATTCGAATTGCTTGGAGGCAGTCAGTCAAAAAGCTCATTGTCCTCTACAAATAAGGCCTGGACAGCAACTGGATGCTGGTCAGACGCTTAATCTACAAACGGAATCGATGCAATTCCCTGCCATTTTGATGAAACGCTGCACATCACTGGACTGTACTCAAGGTGTTTAGCTGCTGGTGCTGCTAGTAGCACGAGTCGACGGCGGCAAAGCACATCCACTGCAAGACGGGGTCAAGCTGGTGGCAAAGAAGGCCTGGCTTTGGCAAACCCTCTCCACAAACAGCCTAGTTCTGCTTCAGACAAGCAGCCCTGAGTTCCTTTTGATTTTTGTGTCTTGCTCTTGAGCAAGTTGAGTGTTTGTGACAGTTGCTAAAGACCCAAGACCTGGAGAAGGATGGGGTGGGGTCATAAGAACTGACAGAGACTCGCGGCAGCATTTTGGAGATCTTGAGCGAGGTGAATGCAAATGCAAACTATTTGAAAAACTCTTTTTGCCTTTGATTTTCCTACGCAAAGCGACTTCCAAGGATCAGTATGGCGGTCTCACCAGCAATTCTGGCTAGTTTGATTCAACTTTCACGCTTTGGTGTTTTATGTGCGCATGTGTGCATGCCGCCTGCGGCCAGAAGCATATCGAATGCCCCTACCTGCGGATGTGGATGAGTTCAAAGTCCCAGACTTCAGCGTCACTGAGCAGAAAATTCGGCAAGCTTGTTCACCGCATGGCCACCATGTTACTAAGAATTTGGTTCACCCGACTGTGTACCCTATTCCTCTTTACCATTTGTGTGTTTCCCTCCTTTCTTGGCCAATCTCAGGTACTCCTGAAACTGGTGCACAACCGCTCTGCGGATGATGCCCTAAGAATTCTAAAGGAGAAGCAGCAGTAGGAGCCTCACTTGTGCTGTTGACAATAGCTTCTTGCTCCTAGTAGTAATGCTCTTGCTACTAGTAGCGATGCCAGGTTTGTCAAGCTTCAGCTTCCAAACCAACCCGATCAAGGTGGAAGATGAAGACAAAGCTTGGCATTTACTCACCTACGCCGCAGTGAGCCGCGGGAAGTCATTGCGCCGAGACCAGGCTCCAATTGTTTCGTTTGCCTTTTGCCAGGTACCAACCCCTGCAGTACATTGAGGACAAGCCCTTTTGGCAGAGCAGCAAGTTCGTGAAGAGGCCGCAACACACGACAGGCTGCAGGTGTTTTTGAAGCATGCCGCTTTTCTAGGAAGATGAAGAAGTACTACGAGCAGCAATACCGTAAAAGACTGGAGCAGGACAGTCCTACTTACAAGCATGAGTTCTCCTTTTAAGGCCTTAGGTCTTGTTATCTTGTTACGCCATACCACCGGTGACCGAAGTGCTTCAGTCTTAGCAGGACTAGCAATTACCAAATGAGACTGATTGTCCCAACCTCTCCCATGGTTTGCGTGCTCATTCCGAGGACAACATCAACTTGAGATACCTTCCAAACCCCAAAGACCGCTTGGAAATGGCAGGCCATCTTCATTGGCTGAAGACATATCTTTCAGAGGTTCACTCTTCACAGCCACAGGTACTCAGCTCTTGGGTGGAATCAATGGCTTCAAGGCCCAAACAAACCTGTGAAGAGTCAACTTGCCATTTCGAGCGGTGTTCAATTCCAAAATCCAAGTGCAGAGTCTTCAGAGGTGGAAAAGAACACTTGGAAGAAGCTTTCATCGATGAGCGCAGAGGAGATTTTGGAGGCTGGACCGCTGGACCAACAAACTTCGAGGTCTTGGAAGTTTAAGACAACTCCAAGAAGTGTGTTCTCACTACTGACTACTAGTGACTTCCCAGATGCGCACATGAGCAGAATCAGGCAGTCAGCGATCAGCGGACACTGAGACTCAGTCAGGGCACTCAGACGCTAGGAGGCACGGACTCTTGCTGTCACATCTGAGCACCTTGAAGATGAGGTGCAGCAAGCAAGGACATTCCTCTAGATTGGCGACCTGGTTATCAGACAGTGGCCACAGACCAAGTCAAGCCAAGAAACTACATGTGAGTTTTCAGGAAAACGATCCCACCTTGGCTGCCCGATTTCCTTCCTTTCTTCCTTTGACAAAGCAAATATTTGAAGTCACATTCGTTGTGTCTCATGAAGGAGCATCTTTGCCTCACGCAGAGCCGACGTTATAAGGCCATCAGAAATTTGCAGTTGAAGCACATGAAGCGCGTGGACGTGGTCATCGAGGTGCCACACACAGACACACACCGAGTTTTCTAACCCAATAGCAAAACAAGAACAATTCAAAGGGAACGCGATGAAATGGGAACCTAATAGCCATGGCCTCCAACCTACTAGCGATGGCCTCTAGCCTAAGAGCGATGGCCTCCAATCTAAGAGCGATGGCCTGCAACCTAAGAGCGATGGCCCCCGACCTAACAGTCGCAAGCCTCGCAACTCAAAGAGTTTCTCGGGTGAACGAGGTCCGAGATGCTCGTATACCATGGACAACTACACACCCTGATGTCCCAGGCCAGAGCAAAACCGACCTAGGCTCTAAGCTCCATGCTTGGGCACGATGGTGTGCTATCTATATAATTTATTGCTTTAGCATAGCTTTCTGTTTAGCTTTGCGCAGAATGGGCACGTCCGCGTCCTCGAGTCATTGTTCTGACCAAAGCAGATCTAGTGCCACCTGCAGCCCTCGAGGTGGGCCTCTGAGGCAAAAGCAGACTGGTCAGACTGTCATCTCTGAATTCGAGAATTCCTAGCTTTGACATTTTCATCGTTCCAGATTAGCACATAAGTTTTAAACTGTGAGCCAAGAAAGAACATCACATCCCTGATAGACTGTCTGTTTTATTTAGCATGTTTTTTGCTGGACTGAAAAGTACTGTACTATATTCCCAGTTGAGCGAGAGACAACCTCAGAAAACGAAGACGAACCAGCGCGAGGAAACCGTTCGCTACATCCAAGAAAGCGAGCGTGATCGGGGAGTTCCTGTTGTTCCAGTGGACGCTTTGCTTGGTAGCTTCGGAATCGAGGTGCGGAAGCCATCGTGAAAGCACTGGAAACCAGTGGACAAAAATGAGATTAGACTAGACACCTCTTTTGACAGTAGGCGGATGTATTCAAAGTATCACTGGAATAACCTGACTCACTTGGCTCTTGCAGGAGCTTCGCACAGAGTTGCTGAAAGCTGGAGCATATGTGAACCGAAGGCATTGTTCTATGATCTATGGTTTCTGCGTGCATGTTATTGTAGTGCCGGTGTTGTGGGTGCTATTAGGTTGGAGGCCATTATTGCTATTAGGTTGGAGGCCATCGCTAGTAGGTTGAAACATCGCTGTTAGGTTGGAGGCCATCGCTAGTAGAATTAGATGGGTGTTGTGGGTGGGTGAGTGGCTTCCTGCAGCATTGCATGTACCTGCTTCAGTCAAAGCCACCGATTTGTTGCTGCTCTGATGGCTTTGTGAGAGGCGAAAGCGGCAGGGAATCAACCCCCGAGCCATTCGAACGATGATGACCCTTGGTTCTCTGCTGTCTGTGTTCTTGCTCCTTTTCTTTGAAGCTTAGTTTTGAAACTTATTACTTCCAAGCTGAGGATTGGCTTCCCGAATGCGACCTCCTTGGCATGCACTCCTTGCACACGGGTTTGCATTCTTTTCGTCTTGAACTGCAAAGTGACAACCGAACAACTGCAACCTCTGGCAGTTTCGTCAAGGTGGGCAAATCGTCCATTATCAACCGATTGACTGGACGCAAAGTGGCTGCAAAGGTGCTCAAAAACCCGAACAAATATGACAACAGAAAGCTACAAGTACTTTGATTTTTGAATGACATTGACAGCGTCTCCTCACTTGCTAGGATTCGCGTCCTGGTCTCACTAGGAAGCTAGTGTGGCACAAAATTGGTGGCTTCAGGACTCGTGTCATTTTTGTTGGTCGGGATAAGGGATATGACATGTTTCATGTCGTTCAAGCCAAGAAAGAGAGTTGCTGCAAGTCTAGAAGGAATCAATTTGGAGGAACACCGAGCTCGAATTCCTGGATTCTCCTGGCTTTATTCCTGTCGGCTTTGGCCGGAGATTCAGCAAGGCCGCTTTGCATCCGCTTGCATCCTTTGCTGGTTTCGGTGCAGAAATCATATTGTTGCAGGAACAGCAGGAACTGCTCTGTATGTGCCGAATCTTTGGGGAAAAGGCCGTGGAGCTGTCGGGCTGTGCGAATTTGTAACTTCTTTTGTTTGCCAGCACGTGGACCGGCAGCAGACGGGCTATGATCTGGTCTTTCGCTTGGGGAAGGTGGAAGATTCTTTGTCGAGTCACATTGTTGGTTTTAATTAGCATGGAAGACGAGGGCTAGAACTGAGAATGAGAAAGCTATTGGGATGGAGGCCATCGCTAGTGGGTTGGAGGCCATCGCTTCTAGGTTGGAGGTCACTGCTATCAGGTTGGAAAAAAAACTGAAACACAACATGCAAGACAGCCTTGCTGCACTCGCACTGCAAGATGTGCACCTGACAGTTGTGGAAAGAGAATCCTCACATGGTGGAGTCGACTGCAACTTGGCAGCAAGCAAAACAAGTGGCACATGTGTCTTTAAGAGCCAGCGGTTCTGCGGCGCAACTCTGAATTTTGAATGCTTCAGGTTTGGAGAGAAACCCAGCGGATTTATGGTGTTGATTTCGAAAAGGCTCTCAGGCAGATCAGGCGCACCATACACGACCTTGCAGATTTAACGGGTTGCCAGGCATGAGGGGCCAATCCTTCCAAACTTTGTTCCAGCATGGCACTCAGAAGCCTGACCTTCATGGATTCTGAACTTGAAAAGAGTCTTCGCAGCTGTAGCTCGTTTTCAGTTGATGAACCCTGCTCCTTTCATGGGCAAGCTGATCAATGACTTCAATCGGGGCCGATGGGGGCGGATCCAGTTGGAAGCACCACCACGAGCACCGGTAAATCTCAAGGACCTTTGGCTTGAAAGACCATGCCAGAACGTCAAACAAAGCTATTGTCAGCACTCGTGGGAATCTAGCATCCCATTTGTGTTTCAAGGACTACGGACACTTGCTTGAAGGCTCTGCACAAACAGTGCAACTTGGCTCTGCACAAACACTTGGTTAGTTTAAACAATCAGATTTATGTGGTCACAAAAAAAGATGCAAGCATTGGCCACTCACTTGAGGAAGCACATGGAGGGTGGCAAAGTGCGTGGCATGCTGGGTCAGTCTGGCAAGGTTAACAAGCACGTGCTCCAAACGTTGCGACATACTTCATGTTGTGTCACAAGATCAAGACCTTTTGAGTGACAGGTGCTGGAAAGCAGCAGGTGCCAGTTGCATTTTCAGCCACCAAATCGTGTGAACACGTCGATGTTTTAGGTGCTGATGCCGACCAAAGAAGAGCCAGAGCGTGAGAAGGCACCAAACAGACCAAAACCGTTTCATTCCCCACTACTCTTTGCAGAGCGCATGATCCGTTGAGCGATTTGCCGAAGTTGGTGTACAGAGGTCCCTGCAGTTCTTCGAAGTCGAAATCTCACCGATGAGGACTGTTGAAAACGATATGCGACAGTCAAGACAGGACAGAGAAACAGAAGTGCTTGGGGAAGCAGCCCAGGGCCTTTTTGATGGATGGTGAGTTCGTTCGATTTGTCTGAGTTCCAGTCGTATTCAGCGCTTTGTAGCCTGGTAGCCTGCGTATCTCAGTTTCATCTCGCAAAAAGCCGACCGCGTGCCATGGAACGGTCTGAAGAGATCCACAGATGTTGTCGCTTAGCCTATCGCCATTTGTCGCCATCGCCTATTATGAAGCTTTGTCATTCCTTTTCAATCGTCAGGTGGTTGCTTCACCGCATCGTGCTGTTGGTGGGCAGTTGCCACCTTTGAGTGGCCCAGGACAGCTAGACAAGACGTGTGGATATGTCTCGACAAACTCAGTTTATGCCCAGCAGGCATACTGTGAATTCACGTCCTATCTAAGAAACTTTGTGAGATTGCTCATGCTCTATGTTGGGCTAAGTCATTGTGCTCCAGTGATCTATTTCTTTTTTTTACAGTACTGCTTTTTATCTTTTTTCGGCTCGGCACAATCCCTGGCGCGCTTGACGGCCAAAGCCAACTCCGCAGAGTCCGCAAACTCCCAAGGCCTCCAATAGGACTCTAAGTACACCTCTAAGAGTCTATACCGTCTATACCCCTTTAAGAGGCGTTGTAAGCTCAACTTTTTTGGCTTCTTTGAGCCGACTTAGAGCGCAGGAAAGGCTGGTGAAGCAGAGCTCAGCCCCAGCAGGCGCTGACAGCTGGTGAGACCAGGTCAGTCCAGGTCAGTAGTAGGTGCTATATATATATATATGAGAGGTCACAAAGGTCAACAAGTTCAAAACCCACAGAAAGAGAACCTGAAATACATTGAAATACAAGTTGGCCAATGTGTTGGATATTACTTTGAGATATGACAAGCGCAGGGAGAAGGAGTCTGGCGAAGCCAGTCTTGAGCTCAAATGAACTGACGTTGAGACTTTGCTTTTGCTACTAGGCATTCCATTATTCTAAAAAGCTCTCTTGTTCTGATCTGTTTCTTTTTTTCCATAGACCTGAGATTTTCTGATGTTCTTGCAGAATCTTCATTCAACTAGGTACGGTTCCAACCGACCGTGTGCTTCTCAGAGCACAACCTAATGCAGCATCGTCCAGTGGCAAGTGGCATGCCAAGGACCCCTCTCTTCAAGGGCAGGTGAACTGGGATTGGGGGCACCCATTGAGACTGCCTGGGTCTTAAAGCCTCAAGGGCACTTAATTTGTTGCCAGGACGCACAATGATGAATGCAAGCTAATAGCAATGGCCTCCAACCTACAAGCGATGGCCTCCATGCAAAACCGAATGGGATCTAGCACTGCATCGACTTCAAGGAGAACCTCGGCATCCAGCGGGGTACTCCCTCGAATCAGAGTCCTCCTGGGATTTGGAAAGTGCCGCACCAAGCTAAGGGATATATAAGCTATTGAATGGTAAGTGACATTTGCAGTCCAATTCCAAAGAAGAGTATAGCACCTGTTCATAGTCCGTTGTCAGTCGTCAAACAGAGTAGAGGTGTCTTATTAGAGCCATTGCAAAGGGCGTTGACTGTTGAAGCCATTTGGCCCGCAGCGAGCGGGGAGACTCGGAGCGAAAGGCTCGATATGTGGACGGCTTGGAATTGCTCCTAGTAGCTATTTGTTACTAGTAGTAAGGCCAGGAGCCCCTAGTAGCGTCCGTGCTCCTAGTAGCGATGCCAGGAGCCCCTAGTAGCATCCTTGCTCCTAGTAGTTTCGCTAGGTCCGAGCATTTTTCTCATCAGATTTCGTAAGGTATGGATATCCTGCTGCCTATCCAGCCGGTGGCAAAACTGAGAGCTGTTGCTGCTTCTGTTTCGGACCAGGCCAAGCAGGCCTAGCACAAAGTAATTCGGGCTTTTGATGAGGCACATTTCAGAAGGCAGGTAAGGACATGCCGGGTTGTGCTCAAATGCTCAAATAAGGTTATCCACCAGCTGGTTACCCCAGTGCATATGCGACGCTCTGGCATAGTTGCTCAGTGGTGCATACCGTCATCTCAAAGCCTTTTGATCAGTTTGGCGAAGTTTTGGTCAGATATGCTTCATGGCAGGCCCGCCTACGGAGCACATATCTCAGCAAAAGCCGACATTTGGGTATGATATGTCCAATCCTTTGATGTCTCTAAGGCCCCAGCGCAGGCACGACCTGCAAGAAGAGGGGCCTGTTGAAGCGGAACATTAGTATCATAGAATCATATACATATATATATATATACATACATGTTTAGGGGCCCTCTGGAGGCACAATTTAGATAAACAATGATATGAGAACCATCTGCGTGCATGATCTGGACACTAAACCCAAACAAACCAAAACAACACAATGATTAGCACACTCTGCCCAATGTTAGAATCCTAGAACAAAAAACCTAACGAACCAAATATAACAATGATTTGGACACTGTTCATCCTACAAAGGTTTGGACTAGTTTGAGCTATTGGGGTTCTCACTTCCATGTGTGCGTTTTTGAGCCTGGGTGCTGGTGGCTGCAGTGTGTGCACTTGGGTGCTTTTCTGGCTGCTGCAGGGTGCGCTGGGAGCTTGGGTGCTGTTGTAAGGTGCCGATGCTGTGTGCGCCTGGGAGCTTGGGTGGTGGTGCCGCTGCAGGGTGCCGCTGCTGTGTGCGCTTGGGGTGCGGCTGCTGGGGATCTTGGGTGTTGGCGCCGTGCCGCGGCTGATATCGGCTTGGGGGCTTGGAGCTTGGGTGGTGGTGCTGCTGGAGGGCGGTGCAGAGTGCCGCTGGAGGGCAGTGCAGAGTGCCGCGGCAGTGCGCTGCCCACAAAGTCTTTTTGCTATCTGGGGTCTATAAACGCAAACACATGTTTAAAAACAGTCTTCTGATGTGGCTAACCACTTGCAGCAACTCAATTTCAACTCCATAAGTCAATCTTCAGTAGTGCTCCAATACAGCATTGTTGCACGTCGGGGCTGACTATTTTGTATATCTGAGTCTGACCTTTTTAGAACTTTTTCCCCACATCACTATGTGGGGTTCTTGTTTTTCGCTTTGCGCCCGCCGCTCCGCCGTGCTCCGCCGCCTCCGCCGCCTCCGCCGCTGCCTCTCTTACACCACCTATCTCACACCACCCATCTACTCACACCACCTCTCTCACACCACCTACACCACTCACCTTACACCACTCATCTTACACCACCTATCTCACACCACTCATCTTACACCACTGATCTTACACCACTCAACTCACACCACCTATCTTACACCACTCATCTTACACCACCCATCTTACACTACTCATCTCACACCACTCAACTCACACCACCGATCTTACACCACCTACCTCACACCACCCATCTTACACCACTCATCTTACACCACTGAACTCACACCACCTATCTTACACCACCTATCTCACACCACCCATGTTACACTACTCATCTCACACCACTCATCTTACAGCACTCAACTCACACCACCTATCTTGCACCACCTATCTCACACCACCCACCTATCTCACACCACCCACCTATCTCACACAACCCATCTTACACTACTCATCTCACACCACTCAACTCACATTTCGTGGCCACCACTCATCTCACACACTCATCACACACCACTCATCACACACCACTCATCTTACACCGCTCATCACACACCACTCATCACACACCACTCATCACGAAAGGTAGCGGTTACGCTACCTGAGTTTTCCTTTTGCTTTAGCAAAAATGTATTATACCCAGAGCTGGAGCCTATCTCATTGAGAAATGGTTCCCGACATCTTCGTTTGCTGGCCGGGGGGGGGGGCCCCCCCCTTTCAACTCCACCCTGGCGCGCCTCGGGGTCAACGGTTCGAAAACACTGTAAAAAATACCAGTGTTTTCAGCTCTTCCAGTCCTCAACAGTGACCAAAAATCATGGAATTTACAGCGTTTTTTGTGGCTGTCCGGCAAAAAACACCGCAAAAACCGATGGTTTTTGATGCGTCTCGGTTAGAAAAATGACCGAAAAAAGACCAAAAACCAGGAACGATTTTGTCGGAAAGGGTTTTTGAGGCTTTTGGAGGCTTCAAAATTGCACAAAACTATGGTATTTACAGGGTTTTGTGCGCTTTTCCAACGCCTGATTCCCTGCTACCTTTCGTTCACCCCCCTCCTCTCTCAAGTTTTACACCACTCATCACTCGCCACTCATCACACACCACTCATCTTACGCCGCTCATCTTACAGCACTCGGCACACACACACCACTCATCACACACCACTCATTGCACACCACTCATCACACACCACTCATCACACACCACTCAGCACACACCACTCATCTCACATCACTCACCACACACCACTCATCACACACCACTCATCTTACATTACTCACCATACACCACTCATCACACACCACTCATCACACACCACTCATCAAACACGGCTCATCACACACCACTCATCTTACACCACTCATCTTACAGCACTCATCACACACCACTCATACTCATCACAGACCACTCATCTCACACCACTCATCACATACCATTCGTCTCACACCACTCATCACACACCACTCATCTTACACCACTCATCACACACCACTCTTGACATATACCTGTATCCATTTTTCAAGTGTGCCTTATCCTTCAAAATTGAACTATAATGTGCGTCCTCTTCAGTTTTAATTGAATGCAAACTATGGTTTCCATCAGTTCCTTCATCAATTTCCTCCCGAATCACCACACTTGTGTATATATATACTGTATATATATATATATTTATACTATAAGCGGGCGCTGACATAAGCACTAACAACTTTAAGTTCAATAGGTCTTGGAACATATATACACAAAGATTAAGACCACTTGTTTCATTCTCAAGAAAGTTGACAGGTGCAGCCTCCGGCCAATCGCTCAGCTGTTTTTCATGTTGGAACATTGACCAAACACCAAACCACTCTTACCTCTTTCTGAGGGCTACTCTGGATATGGCTACGGTGGCGTGCCTGCCAATCCTGCTAGCTTTGCCAGATCTCAATGGCTTCACGAGACCTTTTTCTTTGCCAGGCTGGCTACAGTCCTTCTACGTCTTCTAGCAGGTGCTTGGTTTGAATACAATAACATTTTGAGTTGCAACGCCTTCCCCTCTCACCGAAAGGTCGGAACGAATCATTGTCACCGGCTGCAAGCATGAGACAGTGGGAGACATTGTGTGAATCCAAGATTAAAGATTCTCATGGATTCTCCAGCGGACTGCCTTGATAGGGTTGGTTAGTCTTTTCTCTTCATTATGGTATTGCAGGTCCGGGGTGAATTTAACCTCCAACATGACAACCACGGCAAGCCAGTTTACAAGAAGAACGGCCAGGCCAGCTGAAGTGCTCAACTTGTCAGTTGCTTTGTGTGTTTTGGCTAGAAAAATAACTGCACCAGCACCAAACATCGTGGTTCGACTTTCAACATAATCTTTGCCCGGGGCCTAGTAGCAAGAAGCTACTAGTAACAAAGGGCATCGCTACTAGCTCCTGGCCTTACTACTAGTAACAAGAAGGCTACTAGCTATTGTTTTCGAATAGAGCTGTTTTGGAGAATGGTTTGAGCAGCAAGTCTCAGATGTTGGAAAGATTCTGGCCCTGAGAGGAGGTCGCCGAACATTGGTTCAAAGTAAATCACGAAAGCCAGCCGATAGGCTAGGGGAGAGTTGTTTAGGAACAAGGTGAGGAGAGCAAGGGCATAGGCACCTTTTGCAGTCGCGGCGGCCAAATAGCATGGGGTAAAAGGCGTGGTGGAGAGTGAACAAGTGTCGATTTTGAGGTGTTGGTGGATGTCGCTGATGCAGCTGACTTTGGGGTCTGGGTGATGTCAAGGATGCGTAGGCTTCATGGATAACATCATTAGCACTTTGAGTCACTTGTAGGCAACTAGGTCGATGGATGGATGAGTGGACAAAAGGGAAGAGAGTAGCAGATAGATAGCAAGACAGACAGAGAAGAGATAGAGATAGCGTGAAGTAGAGATAGAGAAGTTCTTTAGTGTATATAAGTGTAGCGTCGCTAGATGATGAGGTGGGTGAATGGAGGGATGGATAGAAGGGAAGGGAATGTCAGAGAGACAACGAAACAGAGAGAAAAGCTGAAGAGGTGGAGAGATAGAGACACAGTGACATGATGAAGTAGATTTTGGCTAGATGAAACAGCATGATCAGTAGATATGGATGGAGAGTTTCCGGTTGATGGATGGTATGTTTAGTCACTTGTAGGCAGGTCGATGGATGAATGAATGGATAGAAGGGAAGAGAGTGTCCCAGAGATAGGACAGATGAGAGATAAAGACACCGTGAAACAGAGAGTTTGTTAGTGGATGTGGCTAGAAGCGAGAAGAGTATGTACAGCGTCGCTTGATGGTCAGGTGGGTGAATGAAGGGATGGATAGCAGGGAAAGGGCACGAAACAGAGAGGGCGATAGTAGTTCAAAAGAGCAGCATGCAATGCCAGCAGCACTTGTAGAATTCATTTAATCACACACACTAAGGGAGCTGAAGCGTTGACGATGTTCTACCTGGATGGGTGGGTGGGTGGGTGGATGGATGAACAGAAGGGGAGGGAGTGTCAGAGAGATAGCGAGACACAGAGATAAGTGAACAGATAGAGAGATAGAGACATAGACATAGAGGGATAGAGAGTAGATGTGGATACACGGATGTGTCATGTGTGTAGAGTAGATAGGTCAATGGATGGCTAGTTGGACGAATGGGTGGGCGGAGTGATGGTTGGATAAAGGCGGAGAGAGGTAGAGAACACACGGAAACCACTCCCAGGCGTGCTTTATTTTGGGTTATTGAGAGCCTGATAACCCAAGAAGGGTACTTGTTATAGCGAGATCGAGAAATGGAGACCTAAAGAATGGACATACATAAAGAATGGACAGATCGTCGGTTGTTGGCTGGTCTTGGCTTTTGTTTTATTCTTCTCAGGTCAAGTTGAGTGCAGCTTTAGGCTGTTTAGCAAAAAGGTTGATGTGGCAATTGAGTCACAACTTATCCCCACCAGATGCCTGCCTGCATATCGAAACACGGTCTAATGCAACCCGTCGAAAAGCATAGGCATGCTTGGGCTTTCACCTGGGGTAAGAACAGGGAGGCCACTGAAACTTCTACAAAAAAGATACAACCAGGTTATAAGACCAAAACATGCTGAGACGTCGACCAAAAACCAATTCTTTTTCGATGACTCGATGCTTTGAAGCGATGTGAAGCAGAGAAACATGACTCATGGACCCCACCGGCAAGGTCAATGGCCTGGATGTGATGTTGTACTTTTGGGACGACAGAGACGGGCCCGACTTCTGTGGCTGGTGGTTTGGTCCAAAGGCCAGTCACACATTCTTCCTTTTTTAGTGAAAAGACAAGAATTGTTGTCGTTGAGTCGTGCAGGTTGGTGGTGATCAAGTTTGGGCTTACCACCCAGAGAAAGCACCTACACCGCCACTGAGTGGCTGGAAGGTGTGACGAACATTTTGGGTTGTTTCTATCGCTGCATTTGTTACTTGTTCATCCTTTCAGGTTCTTTTGGATCTTTCTGTAATCTTTCTGAAGCGTCTTGCTGTTGGATCTAGTTTGAAGGTGCCTTACGATGGCGACGTTGATAATACTTTCATTCTGCAGCCAGCTGCAGGCGCTGACTGCACTGTTTCTGATTTTTTTTGTGATCGTAGGAGAGACATAGTTGCAACGAAGTTGACGAGCAAACGCAAGGCTACGCCAAGTCGGCGACTACCCAGTACCAGCCGGCCCAGAAGCCCAGGACAGAGGGAGAATGCCCATGAAGGAGGTGGGTGGGTAAAGGTCCAGATTTGCCTGTTCTCTTTCTACTCACAGCCTCCAAGACGTATATAGGCATAGAAGCAACATGCCCAACATCACAAGAGCAGATGAAATTGAACAGCGAACCGAGTCTGGCATAGCTAGAGGGGTTTTGAGGGTGTTGCTAGTCTAGAGCCGAGGTTCAGCCTGGCATGCCACAGCCCAAGCCCTGAGCAATGAAAATAGACAGAACCAGGTGCACACACACATGCAATTAGCATGGTGTGACTGGTGTGAGGCCAGTGCCATATGGGTATGGCCCTCCTGCCTACATCTCAGCAGCGTGAGAGCATTTGTAAGGTGTTTGCGCACAATCCCATGAACGGTTGTTGCTATATTTTGTAGCAGAATATGTACTGTACGTAGTCAGCACAATCCCTCTCTTTTGACGAGATAACAGTGCACATTCTGAGGGGTATGGTCTGCCTCCGGCGTATGGGTGCCCCAATGACATGTTGTATCATTTGGCATGGGAAGAGAATAGAAGATATGCGAAAAGTAGTCAAAGCACACCATGTGAACAGGCTTGAGATTCTGATCAGGTACGGCGCCGGATATGAACCGCAGGCATTTAGTGACAGAGGAGAGGGAAGCACAGAAGACAATTGTTGCTTCCAAGGCTGAGCGGAGAAGAGAGGATCGCAAGAAAGATGAGGCTGCCTGTTGGCAGAGAGAGCTTCATGATAGTGGGTTCACATGCGGCTGGCTGACTTGTCAGTTGATTGACATTTTTGCATTGTTTTGCCCGCATCTTGAGGATCGCAAGCCTGACAGAAAGAAGAAAGAGGAGGACCGTTGGAGTGACAGAGCAAGCAACTCCAAGCAAGAAGCTTGCAGACCTTTCATTGTTGAGCATCAATGTTCGCTTTGTGGTGCTTTGGCCATTGCACTTCTGAAACTTAAACTGAGCTTTGCACAGTTGTGAGGCATGGATACTGTGGTGACTGCAGTGCAAAGCAGTGCAGTGCCAAATTCAGGATGCGAAGCAACGAAAAAAGAATGCTGAAGAGGAGAAGAAAGCAGCTGCAAAGCGGAAAGAAGAGGAGAGCTTCCGTTGGGACAAGTCTTTGGGAGAACTGAAGAAGAGCAGAACCGATGTCTTGGAAAGAAGGGCTATATAAATACTACACAGTCTACACTGAGTCACTGAGTCTACACTCCTTCAAGAGACTTGTGCGCACTGATGGCTGCTTCTTCACACTTGGCACCGTGACCACTGCCAAACTCTTCAGCGACACTTTGGGAGCTAAAAATGGGGCTCCTTTGGTGCTTCCCTAAAGTCCTTTTGAAGTCCTTTTACTTCGTACACTTTGCTCTCAGGATTTTTATGTACACGTTTTCTACATGAGCGACATTTTGTTGATGCTCAGAGCTTGGCTGTGGTTGTTCGTACATAGTCACAGACAGGAAAGTCATATTCTAGGGTACCCTTTGTTTCTAGTAGCGTCCTTGCTACTAGTAGCAATGCCAAGAGCTACTAGTAGCTTCTTGCTACTAGTAGTAAGGCCAGGAGCTACTAGTAGCGCCCTTGCTACTAAATTCCCTTCCAAGGTCACCCAGTTTGCCAGCAAAAGCTGTTTCGGAGAAACCTCCTTTTGTGTGACCTGCAGTTGTAGCTTTACATCTTCACCGTATGGTCCGTATGGTTGGTAGAGCAGACAAAACGTTTTGCCGGGACAACAAAAAGTTAGAGCTTCTGATTAGATGAGTAGCTTCTTGTTACTAGTAGCGATGCCAGGAGCTACTAGTAGCGTCCTTGCTCCTAGTAGTAATGCCCTTGTTACTAGTAGCATTTAGGTGTTTGATCACTTTCGATGACTCAAGCTTTGCAATGCATTTTGCGAGATGCCACTCCACTGCCATGCCCATTCGACCTGCTGGTTGGCAACAAACCAAGCCTTCCATCCCATCCGCCCCTCTCCCTGAAATGCGTGGGTTTAGTTAGCTAGGCTTAGTTGTTCTAGAGCTGCCTTTGCAACCGCTCTTTAACCCTTGATTCCATCGTCTTCATGTGTGATTCACGTGCCTGCCGACTGCCTTTTGCACGTTCATTGTCCAGAGTTGCAAGCAGAATCACAATTCGTTTTGCATTTGTGCCACCTTGGCGTCGCTTGGCTTTGGCTTTGTGCAATTTCATTTGAAAGGCTCACTGCACGGGTTTGTTTGTGCTTACAAAGGGGAAACCCTTTGTTCGGCAACAAGGTTGGTCCTGAGGCGGTGACAACAAATTGGCGTAAACAAGAGTCTTGACATTGCAACCTATTGGCGTTCGAACCTGATTGAATCTTGGTTGTTGAAATGGTACAGGAGGCAATAAGAAAGAAGGAACAAGAACAAAAGCAGAAGGAAGAGGCTTATCGGCCACACAAATTTCGATTCTTTTTCTTTTGCCTATGCCACGCTTTGAGGCAGCAAAGCAAAAGAAAGACCTGGAGGAAAAACGCAGGCAAGAGCAGAGGTCAACACTGGCCATCAGAAGGCTGGCCCAAGAACAATGGTTGCGACTGGCTGCTTGATCTACTTGTGCTTCATAAACTTCTGTCAAGTCAGCCATGCTTGGAAGTGCACTCTGCGCAGCGCAAGCCCTCCGGCCAGGGTGATTCAGAAAGTTAGACTAGCATCACCTGAGACCTTCACAGAGGTTCAAAAAGAACTTCAGGCGCATCTTTTGCTTCAGGGAGCTGTGAAGTGATCCCTTTCTGATTTGTCTCAAGCTTGTTCAAGTATATGATGATTTGGCCGACTTCATTTGAAGTGGCCACATCCTAAGGAGATCCTCGAGGTTGAGCTGGAAAACACCGGAAGCCAGAAAGCGAGAATCAAGGAGGCTCCAGCGAATACAACATCAATGGAACTGGGATCCACAGATCAAAGTTAACGGTTTCGTGAGGAAAGCGAGAAGGGCTTAGAGCAAGCCACAAAAAGAATTGATAGCATCAAAGAGCAGCGGCAAAAAGAGCTGGTCCCAAGCTCGGATATATGAGAGCCAACGAATGCTCACGAAGCTGTTTGTTTGTTTGTTTTTTTTGGGGGGTAGGCTGACGTAGAAGAGGTAGCTACTAGCTACTGGAGTACGCTACTACCGACAGGACGCAGGATAGCGCTCGCACTAATGATTGGGTTCCTAGATTTTTAGGGAAACTTAAGATTTGATATCATGGTTTTGAAGCAGAAACAGGACAAGAAAGAGGCAGAGGAACGGAAACGCTTTGAGCAGCAAGCCAAGACGGATGCGCTCCTGAAGGTGCGGGTTGTCTTTTCCGGGAGCTTGTGGAGCTTGTGAGAAGAGTTTCAGATCAGCAGAGCTTAACAACTTAATACAACTTATTTTATGTTTGTTTTCGATGTTTTGTCATTTTTATTCTAGTATGCCGCTTTTTGGAGAACTCCACTGTGATCTCAGTGCATAGAATCCCGGATGGTCATTGTCATTCGTTGTGTAGCGACTCGTAGTGATTATGTTGATTGTGTCTATCTTTGCTCTGAGTTTCTTGAGCCAAGCGTGACCTCTCCAAGTGGTGTGCGGCCATGGAGTTGGGTGAAGCTTCAAGCTACAAAGAGGACAGCTTTACCTACAATGGCCGGGAGATTCTCTATGCCACTGCTGGCAAAGAAGGAGGTCACCCAGCGCTTTGCTTTTACCCCCTGGGAAGCTCAAGAAGAGCACTTCCAATTTTGGAGAATGCTGCCAGAGCTGCAGACCTTTGGCTGATTTGCTGCAACCGTCCCGGCAAGGGCACTGACAGGCCCTTGTTCTCAGAACAGAGTGATCAGAGTGCCGCTGCTTGCCAGCTGGACACCGCAGTTGAGGATCTTAAGCACCTTATGGATGAGCTCTCTGTCGAAAAAGCATCCTTGATTTTTCTCTGTGCCGGCACGCCCTTCGCTCTAAGATTTGCATCCAAATACCCGGAGCGTATCCTGCAAACGCTCGGCATCGGCTGCTGGGTCTCACCAGCTGACTGCGATAAAATGAAACATATTTTCCAGTTTGCATCTAGGCTTCCCACATGGCTCATAACCACACTTGGGCATGTTTCAGATTGTAGTGCAAGCTTGGGTCGCTGGTTGCCCGAAACACCACAGTCCTTGGTCGTTTCAATGCTAGACGAGGCCGAGCGACCTTTGTTCAAGTCTGACGACGATGGGAAAGCTGCCAGCCAAAAGCTGGCGTTTGCCAAAAGTGAAGTCACTGGAGGTGACGATCTAGACATTCCGTTACTTTTGTCATCTTATCAAGCTATAGGCTTGGAGCTACCAAGCCCAGAAAACCTGAAGCTCATCCATAGCAAAAGTGATGAATTGATTCCGATCGACGCAGCACGGTGGTTGGCGGCCAAGATGGGTACAGAGTTGCAGGAACTTGAGTCGAATTCGCACACTGGTTGCCTTTTGCTTTTTCACCCATCCCTACAAGCTGCCATAAATGGCTTGAGCAATCCGACTGCTCGGACAAAGCCGCTGGCAAGTGGACCTCTTGAATAAGAGGAACTGTTGATCAGCGGAGCTCTGAAATTGGAGGAACTGCTGAGCAGTGGGCCTCTTGAATTGGAGGAACAGCTACGAAAACACTTCAGACGACATTTGTCAGGCCTGGAGAAACCTACATTGTACCTACTATCAGGTGTCTTATAGTCCTCTTTGTCGGCCCAGTCTTGCCAGCCCAAGCAAGGATGGCCAAGGCAGCCACAACATATTTATATAAGCTATACATATATATGTACATATATTTAAAGTAGTACTTGATTGCTTAATGTACCAGATTGTTTCGATGTTGGAGGTAGTCTGGATTAGTTGATTAGTTTGCGATTCAGTATACCCATGTATCCCCGAAAAGAGTAGCCCCGGAAAGACATTTGAATCATTCAGCTGCCCACAGCCACAAGAGTTTCTGATCAGGAGCTTAGTGATCTTGTGGATGCTGCCGAAGCATCTATTGAAAGACTCAAGGAGAATTGTTCAATGTAACTTGGTCAAAGCCATCCGGGTCCTACACCACTTCCTTTGGTGTGCTTTGCACAAAAAGGAGCAAAATAAGATTCTTCCTCATGACTCATGGATTTTCTTGGTACTCGAGCCAGTCGTCTCCAGGAGCTATCTGCTCCACTATGTGAGACGATCGATAGCGTCCGGTGGCCTTGTTTCAAGCCCTGTTGGATGGAATTACTTGTTACCAGTAGCTTCTTGCTCCTAGTAGCGATGCCAGGAGCCCCTAGTAGCTTGTTTGACGGAATGAGAAGGAGCTTGAAGCAAGTGTCAAGCAAGGTCAAGGAGGTTGAGGCCTGTGCCTTGGCTGTTGAAGAGGCAGGAGTCTCAACAACTGAAGGTTGAGTCTCAACAATTTGTAAATTGGACCAAAAGAACTCAATGGTTGTCCATTGCTTAAATATCTCTTGAGAGTGATGCCAGGCCGGCACAGATGCCAAAAGCGCAACAAAGGTGGGCGCTGATCAAGTCATGTATTGTTTTTTTCCTCTCGGTCTGGGGAGCCTCAGGCTTGCACCGATTTCATTCTGGTCAAAGGAAATGACATCAAGGAGATTTTGCATTTTTTTGCCCTGTTCACTTGCTGTGTAAATGGTGTTCAGAGCAGCGGTGAATGTGGAGGATCCACCCCCAAGCCCGCTTGCTCCTGGAATCCAAGCTCCCGGAACTTCCGATACCAAGCAGGACGGACAGAACAACATTTCCCATGCAAATCTGAATGAGGATAGGACCCTACTGTGGAATTCTGGTGCCACATTACCGCGGCCGGACAGGCCTTGGGAAAGCTTCTGCAGCGCATCAACGAATGTGGCAAGACAGCAGAAGCACTGATCCAAGCTGCAAGAGGCATTAGTGCGACGACGTCCAAGTGCCACTCCATGGCATCCTATGGCTCTTTTGTCAGGTGCCAAAGAACTGGCTGTCCGCCGCGCCTCAGCAAGGCAGAAAACCCATGAGAGGAAGGTGCCGGCCTTCGGGTGAGGTGTTGTTATTTCTTTTTCGAGGATTTCTTGATAAGGAGTGATGAGGGGATATGTTGCCATGTAGGAAAACGGATTTTGGGTACAGTGGTAAATGAGTCTTTTGAGAGCTTCTGGCAGGCTCTTTTTGCAAAATATGACCGAGACAAAGATCAACTTCTCAGTCAGATGGAGGCCAAGTACCGCCACACAACCTAGCTATGCAAATGTCCTGTGAGCTGTGATTGAGGTAATTACCTATGCCAAAAAAGAGCTGTCTGTAACCGTGGACAAGGTGGGTGTCACCATGCGTCTGGCTCGACAGTTTGCGAACTGCTGAATGCTTTCACGCCTGCTATTTGCCGCCAGGTCCTTTTAGACGAGATTTGGAGATGTACTGTCGATGAAGATGAGAAAGGCATCAGCTTTGAGAAGTCTTTGCCTCAGATTCCTTCAAAAGAAATTGAGAAGGCCGCAAGTCGGATAACATCCGGCACATCAAAAAGAGTTGAATGCGTTCTTGACTGACCTGCTCTCACCATTTGGACCACACAGATCTTTCAATGCCCGCAGTGCTCCTCTGGCTAAAGTTTCAAAGTGTCAGAGTGTGCAGCTGTGCCAAGGATGTATTTGCTCAATTCCTCCCTTGGCATCGCAAGGGAAATGCAACGAAATGAGTCGCTTGGAAGAACTTCCTGTGCCTTCTTTTGATCTCCAGTATATGCTGAGTAGCTGCATGTGTGTCTCTTGTGAGGCGCAGAAGAGCAGCAAGAATAGCCAAGGTGCAGGGGAGGGGAATCACTTGAATTCTTGGCTGTGAAAAGACAAGTTTTGGCTTAGGAGAAGGTCCTCGCAGGCCTCAGAGAAAGGCTGAGGAACAAAGTCCGTGAGGCGCACGCCACGACAGTGGCCTCGAATTACCTGGTTTGTCTCTTCGTCTCCTTTTAGCTGATCGTTGAACACTATATTGGTGCTTTCAATGCACAGGTCGAGAAGGTCTATGCCGAGTTTGACAGGGAGATGAGTCCATGTTTTTGCAGCACTGCTTTCGAAAAATTTCTGTCACATGCTAAGCAAAGCGGAAAGCTCGTTTCGGAAGTGCTAGAAGATGGTCAGGTTCTTCGTGTTTCTTTCCAATTCTGTCTGGAATTCTCCGCTTCATCCAGGAGATGCGAGCTGCTGAAGATTTGGTCCGTCCGTTGCCTGTGAAGGCTGTCCTGGAAACAACACAAACGCTTTTGGCCTTTCGAGTGCTGTGATATTCAGGCCAAGACCTGCTCCATCTCCGAGATGGAACAGAACGCCCATGAGTGTGATCGGCTTGTCAAGGCCGCTCTTTGGAACAAGCAAAGAAAGCAGCTTCTTGTGGCTGAGACTGCTGAGGCGGAGGCTTTTTATGGTTTGTTTGCAGGCCTGCAGGCGAAGTGCTGACAAAGTCAAGCAGCGCATCAAAACCATCCCCTTGGGCTTTGACAAGACGCTTGGCGCAAGAGAGAGAGAGAGAGACATAGAGAGAGAGAGAATAGAGATAATAGAGACAATAGAGATAATAGATACATTTTCAATCATTTAATTTTGTATCCAACAAGCCAGGGGATCAATTAGTTATATCATCAGCACCGCATGCGGTGTAACACTAAGGAAGTACGAAGAGGACATGAAAGAGTTCTTCAAAATGGAGGCAAGCATGAGTGATATTGTATATTTCACAGCTGAAGGCTCAAAGCTATGCAGGGTGGCCCCCCCCACCGCCACCAGTTGAAAGGTAGACGACCGGCACGAGCATGTTTCTTTTTTCTAGCCTGGTACAGTAACAACCTGCACCTCCTTGTACTGTAAATTGCTGATTTTGCAAAGTTTAATCATGGCAGTAGCCTTTTGCTCCTATTTGTTTTGACCACATTTTCATTGTGTTTCACAAAACGGTTGCATTTGTGTTGCCATCCTCATAGCTTTCATAATATCGTTTTGTTTTATACCAGTCGACACACTTGCCCGTCCGCATGTTTTGGGACGAGAGAGTGGGGGAGCGGCGGGGTTGGGGTGGGGGCAAATTGTTTTCTTACTCAAGTTTCCTTAACATCTAGAAACCAAATCATTAGGGTATGAGCTATTCTTCGTCCATACCAATAGCCTACTTGTAGTTATATACTAGCTACCTCTCCCTTACAAAAAAAGTAGGCACCTGGAGGGGGAGCGGGCTAAAAAAAAGAAAGATACGAACACAAAAAGAAACAAAAGAAAAGCGGGCATTGACATGTCTTGACGTTACATTTTTTGAGACAATTCGCTTCGCGTCTCCTCCGACACCTCGCGTCTCATGTCTGAACGTCTCAAATGTCTCACACCTCGTACCGCGTGAGAGACGCGCATCGAACACAATGCACAAGTAAGAGTGGAGAAATGGTGCAAAGACCTTTTACAATCTTTCAATATCTTTCACATCCTTTTACTTTTCACTGACTTGTCACTTGGGGATCCTGCGTTTTTAGCATATGCTATATTAGACTTGTCCGACCGCTACGCGCTGCTGCAGGGGGATAAGAAATGTACCTAGGAACATTTTCGACTTCGCCATCGTCAACTTGTCTGTCACGTTGGATGTAATCCCTCAGTTGTTCAAGTGCTCTCAACAGAAACGTTGGAGGTGGGGACACACTGGTTCGTAAAGATTTGCTGTGGCATGAACACTGTTGGACCAAGCAAGATGCTTTGAAGGCAACATGTCAGTCTTTAGAGTTTTCCAAACTCCCGTTTCTCTGTGGCGAAATTCCAACCTGCTTTTGGAGAAAAAAACTATACTGTTTCCAGTAGGCCCAGTAGGCCAATTTGAGCAATGTAAAGGGCATATTCTACCACAGCGAAACGATTGAAAAGACAACTAATGGGGAGACGATTTTCTGGAAAGCACATGCTCCAAGGACTCCAGAGGGCTTGTTATTAGTAGTTCCTTCGAAGATGAAACACACACAAGTAAACACTCAAAAAAGGACACATGAACACGTTCATGCAGGCGCGGTTGTTCACCCCAAGGCGATGTTTTGCATAGATAGAGATTTGTGTTTTCCTAAAAAGGAGGATCCACAAGCAATATTCAGCGTTGTTTTGCTGTTCACACCGCATTTTTGTTCTGCTGGGCAACTTGCAAGGGCTGGTAGCTTTAGCACAAGAAAGAACACATGTGGTGATTCGTGCAGACCAAGCTGCTCGACCTGCAGATGGGCCGTGCGGACCTCCGCTTGGTTCGAGTAGAAAATCTGAGCAAACGCCACAGGGAGGAGGCGAGGTATGATTGGCATGAGGCATTGCATAGTTGAAGACGTTGGAGGGTGGGTTGGCAGAAGTTTCCCATGTCCAATTAAAAATGCTTGAGGATCTCACAAGACAGATCTCTGTGTTTGAGGATTGATGGGATTCTTTTGCTTGTTCCACTTGAACATGTTCTGAGCGTGTCACTGAGTCAGGCTTGTCGCAAAGAAGCTCAAGACTTGGAGATGGTCCGAGCATTTGGGATGAAGGTGGATCACTTGGTGGATTGGTGGATTTGACACATCAAGATTTGGGAGCTCACTTGCTTGGTCATATGAAAGAGAAAGGTCTGTCGCCACTACGCGCGAGTCAACAAGCTTACCTTCGAGGCGAACCAAAAGATATTGCTTCCACAAATCTAAGTCAGCTCAAAGAATTTCTGTGCAAACATGGTTTTCGCTGTTTGCCGATGCTTCGCCTGCATATTGGGTCCTGACAGGATTTGTTCAGTCATTTGGATGCCGATGGTGATGGAGCCATAGACGAGGAGGATGCAATTGTGCCAAGAGCGCAGCTATTCTATTAGCTTCTTGTTACTACTAGTAAGGCACTTGTTACTACTAGCGATGCACTTGTTCCTAGTAGCTTCTTGTTACTATAGGATCTTCAAATTGCTTCTCTCAAATTGGGACAACCTTTGGAACCAAGCAAAGACCAGGAACCCGCTATCCGGTGATTATCGGCATCAGTTCCGTCTCCGATTTGTAGAAACTACTGACAGCGGTTTGTACACGCTAAACTAAACCCAATCACGCTCCGTGATTTGGTAGGAGTTCGCATCCTTCTTTGCGACAGTGGACAAGGCCCAGTTGATCCAGTCAGTCTTCCATCACGTACGTCTTGCTTTCGACAAAAAAGCGAAGTATAATTCCTTGCAGGACATCCAGGAAGAAGAATTTGACCTTGCTGAGAATGAAGCCGTGGAGGAAGAAACTCCTGAGCTTCCAGACATTGAGGCCGAGAAGGCTGGCTTGCAAATGATACTCTGACTTCAGATCTGCAGTCGAAGAGTCAAGTTGAATGAGTGTGGTAAAATTATGTAAAATTGACACGTTTCCAACAGGTCAATATTTTGGAAGAAGGGGCGCCAGACGCTTTAGATGAGATAGCCCCACCAGAGCCAGATGAGGACTGGTCAGCAAGTGCACTTGGGCAGACGCTGCAGCAGGGCAGATCCATTGTTGCCGTTGGCACAGATCTTTTTTCTAGCCGAAGTGAATGCATACCATGAATACCTTGTTTCAGGAGAATGAAATCAGGCAGCGGACCTTGTTTGAGGAGGCTGAAATCAGGCAACAATCCCTGGCTGCAATCATGCTTCAAGCCACTCCAAAGCCAAAGCCAAAGCCGAAGAAGGTAGCATCTTGGCGGAGACAATGTGGGTGATCAGAGATTGAATCCTGTATCAACAAGTGACTGGCGCAGAGCCTGAGCTGTGGTGAGGTGAAGGCCGAGCTGACGCCAGACGAAGTGAAGAGGCCAAGCTGCCGTCAAGCAGTGTGAAGTGGCTCCATTGCGCTCTGCTTGTGTGCTTCCACACTGCTTCCAGTCTCTTTGCTAGCGTCTTGGAGCCGGATGCAGTGAAGCTGTCGCCGGAGGTGCATGTTTTGCTGCCGAAAAGATATTTTAGTCTTAGAAAACATTCATAACATGATTGCTTGCAGGCCTTCTCACGAATCCTCAAGGTCTACTACAAGGTGGTGAAGGATTGCTTGCCACAGCTCATTGTGCCACAGATTTTGCAGCAGCATCATGGATTCAGGAGACACCTATGACTGAGAAGTTGGAAGTCAATGGCAGTCAAACAGTTCAGCAGTTGAAGGTTGGTGAGGCGGCGCAGCAGCGAACAGTTTTTCTTGGTTGACACGGCCTTACCATTGGCAGAGTTGCTTGCGACATGCAGAGATTTTGGCCAAGCTATATACTGTAGCAGCTGTAGCACATTTGCAGCCTTTGGCTCCAGCGGATGAATTGAGTTGTTCTCGGTTGGCCTCTTTCAAAACCAATGCACATGGCAGAAAATTGTCACTGAATTTGGTGTTTGGGGCAGCATTGGATTGGCCTAGGGAAACCGCCTAAAGAACATTTTCTTTGTCTTAGTGCTTCGAAAGAAACCACGGACATCAGAAGTTCAACTAAATTATGAAGTTAGCAAGGCGGACTTCTTGATTTGACAGTTTGTAGTACCAAAGGTTGCTTGGAGTATATGTGTGCAGACATGTGCCGACTCTTTCGGCACCGAGAACATTCTTCCCCACTTCTGTTGATTGTGCTTTGTAAGTAGAGACCAGAGTCGCAGAAGGAGGTGAACATATGCACACTTGGCCCTCGAAGGAACACCTCGAGCTGCATGATTTTTGTTTTGTCTAGATACAGTAGAGGTCCTGTAGACACAACCGGAGTAGCTGATGAGCCATGCTGACCAAGTGTTCCTTTGCAAGGGGCCAGCTCTTGTGGCAGCAGCTACAGGTGTGGGTCACCTCAATCCTGAAGTAACACAGTTTTGGTTTCACAACCTGGAGTTAGTTAGCCACTTACTGCGATCATACTGCTTGAATACATTGTTCAATTCCGTGTGGAGTTTTGAGGTGCGACTGATAGCATCTAACAAAGCGGCATCTTTCGATGAGGAGGGTCTTCCTTGGCAGAGAAAGCTCATTTGGTAAACCATGGTAAACCTCGCAGTGCCTTGCCTGCAGGACTTCCAGACCCGGTTAGAGCAATTTGACGTCCTTGCCGAGATTTTTGATAGCAGTCGAGAGGTCCCACAATTAGATACAAAGACAGCATCGAACAGCGTGGAATATCAAAAGAACTTGCTGTGTTTCAGAAGAGTTTCCTATTGTGGATCCAAGCACCTGTGATTCACGTGATCTAAGGAAAGGCGATGTGACTCGGGCAGAAGGCCTTTTCCGTGGACTCTATGGCAAAGCTCCGGACCAGGGCAGATTCCTTTTCAATATACTCTTAAAGGACAGGAAAGACAAAAGAGTCGCAAGAACGCTACTAGTAACAAAGGGCATCGCTACTAGGAACAAGGACGCTACTAGCGGCTCCTGGCGTTACTACTAGGAACAAGAAGCTAGTAACGAAGGGCATCGCTACTAGTAGGGCAGGTTCCTTTTCAAACTCTTAAAGGTCAGGACAGGACAAAAGACAAAAGACCAAAAACATTGTTCATATTTGTTCATTCTTCATGCGAATGCGCTGGGCTTCTCAAGCCCTGGAGGCCTGTGCGAATTCTGGCCGTCATGAAGATGCGCGTGGGTTTTACAATGAGATGCGCCTTAAATCCATTTCACCCAGTACCCGCACCTACGGGAAACTGATGGAAAGTGCTGCGAAGGCCGGTCGTCGGAAGGATGCGGAAAGATGGTTTCAGGAAGAACAAAAGCTAAGATCCAACTCCGACTATGGACACTGTACAAACACACGAGACAGCACTGTAAGCGAGACAGAATACACTTCAGCTACAAGGCTTGATGAATGCATTCCATATCATTTGCTCGTAGATGCAGCTGCTCGTGCTGGGGATTTCCGAGCAGCCGAAGGGTGGCTGAGACGGTTTGGCGAATGCTTGCCACAGGCGGATATGCAACCTGCTCTCAATACAGTCATGTCGGCTGCTGCAGCTTCTGGTGATATGAAGATCCCACATGCTTGGCTGCAGAAGATGTATGCATCAACTCTTCAGCCGGACGACACGACTTTCATTGCTGTTGCAGAGAAATGTGTAGAAGCGGGAGATCTTAATGCTGCGGAAGATTGGCTGGATCAAGCAGAGCCGTCACAGCGAGTTGAAGCTACATCTGAAGTCGTTCTGAATACAGTCAGGGCTGGTCGACTAGTGGAAGCAGAGCGCCTGCTGAGACAAGTTGTGGGCTATCAGTTTTCTGAAAGTTTGTCTCTTGCGTTCAAAGAAGTTATTCGAAGGAACTTGGAGTTGGGCAATGTGGGCGAAGCTGAAGCTTGGCTGGAAGCCGCTCATTCTGCTGGGGGTCAAGCGGACAACCCACAACTCCGCAAGGTGTATTTGGAAATGCTGAAAGCTGCTGCCTTCAGCTCGGACCTTCAAAAGGCAGAGGAGGTTTTCACCAAAGCAAGGGCGATGCACTTTTGTGACCTGCAGTTTTTTACAGTCATGGTCGATGCTGCTGGAAAGTGCAAGGACCTGATTGCTGCAGAGAGGTGGTTTGAATCGGCAATAGATGCTGGGTTTGAGCCTGACATAGTGCTCTTCACCTCCATGGTTGACGCTGCATGTCGCCTCGGGGATTTGCGAGCCGCTGAGTACTGGCAAAAACGAGCCGAGTCAGCAGGATTTGAAGCAAACAAGGTCATGTTCAGCACCTTGATCAGTGGAGCTGCCCGCAAAGGAAACAAAAACAAAGCACTTGTATGGGCTGCTAGAGCTACGGACCGCTTTGGGCCTGACATAGTCATCCTTAACTGCGTAGTTGCACTTCATGCGCAGGCAGGAGATATCGGGGAAGCAGAGGCCGTACTAGAGAATGACATCCTTAGAGGAAGGCTGCAGCCTGATGTGCGGAGCTTTGGGCCGATCATCAACGGACACGCTGAGAAGGGACACTTTGAGCAAGCTTTGCAGCAGTTCCGACGGATGGTGGACCTTCACCATGTTCCCCCTTCTGTGATTCAGTACAATCAGCTCTTGAAAGCTTGTGCAAGACACAGACCACCTTTGGCGCAGGAGGCGGAGAAGATATTTGCAGAGCTAATGGCCATGAGCGCGGAGCACACACAACGGAAATTCAAGACACAGGATGTTCATCCTACGCGGATCACACTGAAGTCTCTGGGACGCTGTGTTGGAGCCCGGCGGCTATCGGAAATGTGCAAGGCTGGAAGTAGAACTGTTCATACTGACTACATTTTGTTCCTCTCCATGGTGAAGGCAGACTTCAACAATTATTTCGTAGCTGCTTTCAAGCAAGCTAACTCGACTCGTTATCGCAAATTTGTTTAAAACACATAATCACGAAAGCTAGCTGTAGCTAGCTGGAGTCTGTCTTGCTTTAGCAAGGAGGGTGGGAGCCGAGGACCTGAGTGCAGATACCTGATTTATCAGGCTTTAACCCCCCCCCCGCGCGTTCAACTCCACCCTTCTCCTCAGTACCTGCTGCTGCTTGGTCTCTTGCTGCTTGCATGCTTGGTGCTGCTGATTGCCTTTGGCTGCTTGCTGGTTGCTGCTGACGTGTTGGGGCATGAGCGAAGAGTTCGGTGGGGGAAGCGGGTGATGAAGAGTTTGGTGATGTTTGGTGGAAGCATGGCAGTAGTTGAGTTTTTTCCCTTTGTGCATTTTATATTAACTATACTATTGTCACTATTGTCACGCCGCCCCAACTCGTGTCATGGTACGCTGCTGCTGCCTTTGCTGCTGCTGCCTTTGCTGCTGCTGCCTTTGCTGCTGCCGCCTTTGCTGCTGCTGCCTTTGCTGCTGCCGC